AATAAATAACACCTAACAACTTATAAGCCAGCTTTTAGCTCTCAGAATTTTTACTGTCTTTGGATATATTTTACCCAGCTAATATGTGCAGCACCTCTTATCTCTCTGTACTGTTTACTGTGGAAACAGTTCCACTCTGCTAGCATTAGCAGTACCTAATGAAACTTTCATGTTGTGATCTTGTGGATTATGATGGTGTAGACTGGTAGGTTGGTACTGGCTATCCACATTTCAGAGAACATTCATCTTCACTTCTACTCAATAGATGGAAGTGTTGTATGACCGTGAATGCTTGGTTCCCACCTACCACAGTACATAGGATTTTAGCTCAGAGACCCACATTATTTTTGTTTTAATTTTAATAACTAATTTATTTTCATTAGAATATATGAGCCATATAATAAGAATTAAAATTGCCAGAAATATAAATGTGGATCCATGCAGTAACTTGAAACTATTTTAGATATATCAGTATTCTAAGAAGTTTCTTCAGTTTCAATTTTTTATTTTATATGAAATAATACTGGTTGCAAGAGATGTGATTTTGTTGAAACATGAAGCGGAACCTAAAAATATACTGAAAATAACACATTGTTATTGGAACATGGGAATGTAGGATTATAATATAAACAATGTATTTTTTTGACATATAGCAGAAATTTAATAAAATGCTTATAAATTTACTGCATTTCATATGATGCCATTCGGACATGGCTGAATTGTAATAATCATCAGTGACCCATCACTGAACTGTTGGAATCTAGGAATATATTGAAAATGATGCAGCAGTTTATAAATATGTGGCTGAAATGCAATAAAACACATACAGGTGCAGTTCAGTGAATACAGTCATTGAAATAAATAGCTGAATTATAATAAGTTATAGAAACATATTGGTAAAGACAGTGTCATGTGTAGCTAAATTATAAGAATCTGCAAGAAATGTGGAAGGCTTCTGTTCAAGGTGCTATTTTTATTATATATGTAATGCCAAAAACACAAGGCAGCAGGGCTCTGCAGCATGACCTTGGAAAGGTTAATGTGCAATTTGCTGCAGGGCATGTTCACTGGAATTATTGACTGGGGACATCCTTATGTTTTGTTAGCTATTTTTAATTCTAAAATATATTTTCATTTTAATCAGGGAGGTCCTAGTGCCCGGTCATGTCACAAGGTTTGCTTAGATCCAGAGAGGAGACAGATCTTCACTCTTGGGAGGTACCTCGATACCCAATACAGGTCACCAGAAAATCTCAAGGTAATTCTGTTAGATTTTCAGTATATGCTTTTATTAACAAGTAACAATGTAGATTCAAAAGTTTTCTGACGATGGTGTATAACACTCAGAATTACTGGGCTTTTGGACTTTCTCTGTTGTCCACTATTCTAGAAACCAGAAAACACAACATTTCAGAAACTGGACCTGTTTCCATCCTCAGGTTTTGGGGGAGAAGACACATACTCAGATAGGTCCCTTAGAAAGAGCTAACATCTTTCTAAGTAACCGTTGGGTCATATTTAAACTTGTCAACCAACAAAATCACCAGGAAACAGGCTCTACCTACAACATTACAATTTTGAATTTCAGGATTGCTGTTTTGGTACTTTATGAAACCTGAACTGTGCTCAGGTTAGGAACTTTTGTTGTCATTTCATGATGTACTGTATGTACATACATGTACATGGGTGTGTACACAGGCAGATGCAAATCATACCCATATATGACTTGGGATGTAAGTGTAGCATATGCAATATAAAGCTCCTACGACAATGCCATGTGACACTCCATTATTGTGAGGATCTAGGAAAAGAAGTCATGGTGATGTAGCCATCACATCTGGTATGGAGGAAAGGTCATTATGAAAATCAGGAATCAAAGTCATGACAGTGGAATCATTATTAATCAGTGTGGCAGAAATGCCACTGCATGTGTCTTGAAATCAGATTGTGACAGTATAATCTCTACATCTGACGTGGAGAAAATGCCACTGTCTACTTCAGGTGACTGAGGTATGGTGGTGTGTCTGTTACATCATGTGTGCAGAAAACTCTGCTACCTAATTAAAGAAACCAATTTATTTAATTATAGACATTTGGTGTGGAGGCAGTTCCATTACCAGACATTGGGTTAGATTACCTTTAAGAAGTTTTTTAAGTTCTGAATTTTCTTTTCTTTTTTATGTTCGGTCCCATCTGACCGTGTACCCATGTACTGCAATGAATACCGTGTTATTTACATGTTTTGCAGAGTGATTTTTATGTATATGACATTGAGAGCAACAGATGGACGTTGATAACAGAGGATACAGGAATGATGGGTGGACCACAACTCATCTTCGATCACCAGATGTCCATGGATGTGGCAAAAAGAACAGTCTATGTGTTTGGAGGACGTGTTCTCACACCTCCTGCTGGGTAAGGCAACTGTAACTCTTTAAGGTTAAAACCAGAATGATAGTTGGTTAGTAAGTTACTGAACATTGCTGTATCATCTGCAAAGGTGACTTTAGCACCATGATTTATTCTGACCATCTTACAGTGCATACATTTATTCACCTTACTCTTCTCTCTTGCACTACATGTTTCAGCACTAAAGTGCCATCTTCAGGTGCTTTTCGATGTACGTCGAACTACTCCACTGCATGCCGTGTTGTCTTTACACTAAAATAACCAAAATATCATAGCGTGTTTTGTGTGTCACGCTACAAATAAATTCACGTGGGTCTCAAATTATCATAGAACCTTTATTGTTCTTCACGCTTACACAATCACACGCTTTACAATCGTTAGCCTACACAACTTCTCGGCCGATACTGGACTCTCTTCTCTGGCGGATGTTCCAAGACTCTCTTCTTAGACGGCTGATATTCCAAGACTGACTGCTTCTCGTCGAAGCTGGGCTATTTATCCCCTCGGCCGCTGCTAGGCAAACGAACCCTCTGTTATAGCAGTGGAAACGTTGCTTTGTTGGGTCCGCGTTTCCTACGCAATGACCCATTGTTATCGCGTTGTCTCTGTGGGAACGCTATGCGTATTCGTCATAACCATGGAGATTCGATGTTCTCTACACAACGGCTCACTGTTGGGATTACAGTGCCGCTATTGTTACTTCCTATGCAACAGTCTGTTCTAGCATTTCCATAGAAGTGACTCTTCTGGATTCCTGACACGTTACAATATATATTTGTCATATATATTGATAAATTTTAAATATTAAAAATATTAAAACTGTTCAGGATTTGTCATCCTTATGTCATATCTCAATACGCGAGTCACACCTATCTTCTTCTATCGGAGTATTCTTCCTACTTTCATGTGTATTGTGCTTTGTGTTGTGTCTTGCTCCTGTGACTGCATGTGTTATACTTTAGCATTTGATGATTTGATGATGTAAGAACATAATTATGCACAGTGAATGGGAAAGTAATGGTGAAAGTAGTAGTTGTTACCTGATACGAAAATCATGAAAAATTCTTAGTTAGGTTACCAGGTTCCCAGACTGAGACTTAGACCAAGTATCTCCTTAGTGCAGGTCAGACACACTTGTTGTATGTCTTGTCATATGACTATATTTTGGTAGTTTATTTCCACTCAAAATAAGGCGGTTGATGACATTCTGGGATTCCCAATTTCCTGGCCCAGGGGTCAACAGTGACTGCAGACTGCTACTGCATAATGATGTGACACCAGAAGGTGCCTTGACCAGCTCTAGGAGAAAGTGGTCCTTCACCAATATAACCTGCACTTTCATTCAAAGCATGTCACACTGAAAATCCTGAAGCAGTTTCTTTGGGAATATCTTGCCTGTCTGTCTGTGTGTGTGTGTATGCATGCGTGCGGGCGGGCATGTAAAAAATGTAAATTCTACTATTAGAATTTATGTTTGCAAAGTTTTTTGTATAATTTTACTTGTTTGTATACTTAATTCCTCCTTGCTGTGTTACATTCCCCATCATATTATGTTCCTTGTCTTGTTTTCAACTGCTTGTTGAGTTGGACTGGCTCTTCTTCTTATAATGTTTATTTTTCACTGTCTGGTGTTCAGTTCTTATATTGTAACCCAATATTTGATGTAGATGAAGTAATATTATACAAAAAAAAAATAAACTTGGCAAACATAAATTCTAATAGTAGAATTTACACTTGTTACAGACGCACATACACGCTGGGAGCACCATATATCAACAGCTAAAGATCAAGTGATGATGACCATTTCAGTGAAAACATGTCATGAAAACTTTTAAAGTGGTTAGCTTTCGTTAATGGGGCACGCGTTACCATAGTTGGTTGAGGCACTATGTTACAAGCCGGAATGTCGCAGGTTCAGGCCATGTGGTCATTGGATTGTTTTCAATTGACCTAATCCTACCAGCCGCACTATGGCCCTGGGATTGACTCAGCCTCTAACAGAAATGAGTACCAGGAATTAATTAAATAATTTTCTTGGGGAGTAAAGCGCGGCCGGTGCGTAAGGCTGACAACCTTACTACCATCTCTAAGCCAATTGTCTAGATAATGTGAGACCCTCAATGTCTGAGAACCCTATGGGTCTTCACAGTCTGTTACAGGGATAGCTTTACTTTTTTTTAGCTTTCATTAAGTTTTAATAAGTTGTTGCACATAACTGTTGAACTAGTATTTGGAACTGTGATGTTTGCAGAATGGCTGATGACAGGCCTGGATGCGTAGGCCTTGTTGGAACATCAGAACCAACCTTCTCCGGACTGTTTTCCTATCATGTTCCCACAAACACATGGACAAAACTGTGTGATGATTCAAGCAGACCAGGCAGCCCTGGAGTCCCAACCATTAGATCTCGTGTAGGACACTCAATGCTCTTCCATCCTGTAAGTATATTCAAATGTAAATACTCAGATGTTGTGTATTCTCAGTAATGATTGCTTTTAATACATACATGTTTTCTCACATGGAATAGCAATTGAGAGAATCTGTGAATCATATTTTTACAAGGAACTCAAGACTTATTTTAAAGAACAATTTGTGGGTATGATCTTTACATAGATATGTCTGAGCAAATGTTCAAACTTGTGTCACATAGCAGGGAGACCACAGAAGCCTGAAATTATGGTTAGTTATATTCCAGTTTTCTGTTCTTTTTGTTAGATATATTGAAACCTTGATTTTGTTAAATTGATATGGTGTAGGAACAGTATTGCATCATAAAGCTTTTGTTATTTACACAAAGTTTATATTTGATTTCTTATTTAATGAGTTCACAGTAGCATACATAACCAATACAGTTGTGTCAACTGTAATAACGTTTTCCTTCTTAAATTGGTTACTGATGTGTGTCAAAGGAAACAAACTGTGTATTTATTATATTGAATTTTGTGAACTATAAGTGTATTTTTATAGGTAACTGAATGGGAAATAAGACATATTTTGTAAATTTCAAATGTATATTTTTGAGGTCTACTTAATTTTGTTATTGTATTTTTATATTTTGTTAAATGCATACCATATGAAAATCTGTTTTAAATTGAAGATTTAAATTTAAACTTTGTAAGATTTGAGGTTTTCATGGGATGACTATGAAGAGAGCAGTCTTCTGGGATGTGGTGCCGTGGAGATATTATGTTAACTAATGTTTTGAGAGAACATATCGCCTCTGTCTTCAGGGTAAAAGAGAAAAGAAGAAATCCACAAGCGAAGAAGCAGTGTGAGTAGGTGCAAATAGACTAATGTAGAGATTAAACCCAGCTGTATAAGAGCAGGATAGGAAGGGGGCTACATGGGAAATCAGTAGAGAGGAGAGGGGAAGGGTCTGGGGATGTGGGCCAGCAGGTAGCAGGCAAGATCAGGTATAAGATATTGTGTCGGGGGAGAAATGGAAGGTTAATGGGAAGACATTAATCCTTAAGCTTGGGGGTTGCTATGCAAGTTGGGCATGGACTTATGTGGCCTTGTGCATTTTCTTCTTTTCTCTTCTACCCTGAAAATAGAGGCGATACGTTCCTTCGAAACATTGGTTAACACAATATCTACACGGCGCCACATCCCAGAAGACTGCTCTCTTCATAGATTTAAACGTATTTGACCTCTGTGCTTGGGATATTCTGGGCAGGTGCAGACTTTAATACATTGCTTCATCTAAGATAGCCAAGCCTGTAACTTATGCAATTTTTTAAATTTTCTTATGAGATCTCAGAGATCAGCAACAAATTGTATATACTTCAGTATATTTTAACAAACATTTGGAAGTACAGTCCTGTTGAGTTGGTGGGCTGAGAAATGGCCAGCAATAAAAAGGTAATTAAGATCTATGTCTTCTGTCAGGTATCAGTTTTTTTTTTTTTTTTTTTTTTGTGTGTGATCTGCAGATATTGATGGAGTTTGCTTTGAGATTAATGTGAAATAAGGGCTATGTTGGAGCAATACAATTCAAGATCAAGTATGTATGCGTGGCAAACTTTTGGTCCAGACTGCAATACTAGGTTTTATCAAAGGCTGATCAGTAGTTTGAGGGTGAATCACGTGGACAGAAGACATCTTTCTACCATGTGTTAACTGTGATCTTTTTGCCTTGTGTTTAATGTACCCATGTTGTGCAAAGACCAGACAAAAACAAGAGAGAGAAATAAATTTATGTTAATATGAGACACAGTAAAATAGGCAGACAGTGACAAAAGAACAAAAGAATAAGGGCCTCTCTTTTTTGTCATGGTAAAAAGAGAATTTGTAATTTCTAAATAACACTTGGCTAATCATGTAATAATCACAAAATCTAGTATTTATTGCAGTTTATGATTGTAGGGATGCCGTAAACTTTTTATCTTTGCTGGCCAGAGGAGCAAAGAATACCTGAATGATTTCTTCACATTTCATGTGGACACACATGAAGTGAGGCAAATATCAGAAGGAGCAAAGAAAGAAGCATGCAACATTCCAGCAGCAGGATTCACTCAAAGGGCAACGATTGATCCTGACCTCAATGAGATATATGTGTTGTCTGTAAGTGAATGCTGTGTCATTAAGTTCCTTAAATCAAAACCAACAGTTTAGAACTATGATTTTAAGCCACAATCATGGTAGGGTAGTATCAGTCACAATGTTTATTTGTAAGTAATTAAATTCTATTTTACAAAAATAAGAAAAATATATTTTTTTTTATTAGACATTTGACCTATTCCTTCCAGCCACACTATGGCCCTAGGTTCAACTCAGCCTCCAAGAGAAATGAGTACCAGGAATATTCTTGGGCGTAAAGGGCTGCCGGCGCGTAGGGCTGACAACCTTACCGCCATCCATAAGCCGATTGTCTAGAAAATGTGGGAACCTGAACATCTCACCACCCTATGGGCCTCCATGGCCTGTTGCAGGGATACCTTTACTTTACTTTTACTTACTTTTATATGAGACATTTCAAGTGTTACACTTTTATATCGATAATGAGGCATAATGTGTACTAAAGAATCTGCTGCTTAACATGTAAGCCTATAATGATGGCCAAATAGGGCTGAACTGTGTAAGGCATATGTTATCCAATACGTGAAGTTTTTTAACTGCTACATGTTTTATTTGATGGTTTTTATTGCTCAGTGACATGTAAAATATTTGTTTGAGGATAACTGTAATTCTGCTTGTTCAGACTGTGGGTTTCTACATAACAGTAACCTTGTTCACAATGTTGTTAAGAGTAAATATAACCTGCTTAATGTATTTCTTATGTAAAAAGTACTTCCTGTGTACGATGTGCCATTTTAGTGTTATGTAACATTTTATCCATATAATGTGACCCCCCCCCCACTCAAGCTCCTTTGTTTGATATAAACTTCAATTTACAAAAGATGGTTTGGCTTCTGCTGCTAATGCTCACATGCACTTGAATCTGAGCACATGTTAATGGCCATCTGCAAATCATGGCTCGTTCCTTATGTTTTACCAGTGTTCAAAAGCAGTTGAAGCTAAGCAGTCATCTCTCTTCTTTATTTCTGATGAAGACCTTATGCTTCCCTTTAATTTTAAACTTGCATATTCTGTAATTATTATGTATTACAAATATTTTCACATGGGACTGATACAAATTTTTTGTGCTTTCTTGAACCTACCCTTTAAGATGTTATCCTACATGAGAAGCTTGAATTGCTTGATTCCCTGGAATAGTATATAAAGAGGCTTCCATGGTAATAACATTAACATGTTATGTATTTTCCCTTTGCAGGGTCTGAGCAAGGACAAGGAGAAGAGGGATGACAATGTGCAAAACTCATTTTGGGTTTATTATATTGCACAAAACAAATGGTAAGTTACCTGCTTTGGTTTCCTTAGACCAGAAATGGGAGTGACTTTTGAACATCTGTTGCTTAACTGTTTTCTGTTTTTCAGGTCGTGTATATATAGAAATGAAAATACTGGTGAGCAGTACTGGAACAAAATGCAGCATTTAGAGCCATGTCCAAGATTTGCACATCAATTAGTATATGATCATATTAATAAGGTTTGCTTTTAATTCAGTCTTTGTCTCTAGTAGAGAATACAATAATAATGCAATACAATACAATAATAATAACTTAAAAATTTAACATGCAGTATGTTATTAATTTAAATTGAATGATATGTACGTCAGTGCATGCAGTTACAGTGTATGTGGGTGTGATCCAGCATTTGGGACATTTAGTGCATTTTCTGTTGATTCAGTTCTTTTATGATTTGTCAGCTGAAGACATATGCCATCAAAGGAAATGTGATCTGATGATTACGAATAACAAAATGATGACTCAGGAGAGATGCCGGAGGAGTTTATCGTAGCCTACAAAGATGGGTATGAGGGAATAATAAAACTGTGAAGAAGCTGAATCAGAATTCGTGGTCGCCAGACATTACTCAAAATGGATGCCCCCTAAATGCTATCATTTACATTACCACTCTGCCAGCTTACCCATTTGGGCATAAGGAGGATAATAAAATTGTTAATATTCTCTGTGAAGTAAACAGAAAGACTTCTTTGGCCACTGTATATTGTAGTATGTGGACCCGTTGCAAGGTGATGGCCCATACACACAACAGAGGAACACGTCATATCCATGATGACATCACGCAATAGTAAAAGATATTATTCAATTACCAATTCAGACCCGTCTATAGTCAGTCATGTGACAGTATAATAAGCAGGGCCTGGATTTGATGACGTCATCTTTTTTTTCCTTGTATCCTATGCGATGCTCTTAGATATATAAATCTCGGATATGAGCTGCTACAGAAATGTAAATTTTATAGGTATTTTTTTTGGCATTTTTTGACATTTTTAGGTTTAAGGTAATTTTTTCATTTTGGGGTAATTTTTTGGTAAATTTTTGGACTTTTAAGGGTATTTCTTGTCATTTTTGGCCATTTTTATGGAATTTTTCTTCATATGTTTTCTGAAATGTGAATAACATGGAAACGAAGTGTTCTTTCTTTTCTCCTTTAGGTCATATTTCTGGATTTTTTCGCTCATTTTATAGGTCATTTTTTTAATATTTTCAGGTCATCAAAATCTTGGCCCTGATATTACATTTTTGGGTCATATTTTAGGTCATTTTTTCTGGATTTTTTGTCATTTTATAAGTCGTTTTTTAAATATTTTCAGGTCATCAAAATCTGGGCCCTGATAAGTAATATTAATAATATTTTTCTGTTTGGATTGGAATGTGTGGAATATAAAAGGGTTTATTTTTGTTCTTAATTTTATGATCCCTTAAACCTCATGTGGAAGAAGTGCCAACAACTTATTCAAGAAACTGAGTCTAAGCACTATAACCATTACATCTGGTGAGGAGGAAATGTAAATTGGGTCAAGTTATATTTAAATATAGTCTTTAGGTTCAGAATTTGATTTATTGCTTGATGTATTGACAGTAGTATGTGACCACTGCAGCTGATTAATGGTATAGTTTAGTAACTAATCAAACAACCAGCTATATTCTCTGCAGTTAGTACAGCATTTAGTCAGTAATCAGTATTACATTATAAATGAGAGAGATCCACATATAATTACAGAAGAAGAGGCCTCATACATGTGAATGTCTTTCTTTTCCTATGTACATTGGTTTTATTTTTGCATGGAGTACGTTTTTAATTGTATTTTATAAATCCAGGTACACTATCTCTTTGGTGGTAATCCAGGAAGAGCGTGTTTACCTAAGCTTCGTCTTGATGACTTCTGGCAGCTTCAGTTGTGTCGACCAACACATGCTCAGCTCTTACAAAGATGCAAACTCCTGATAAGAAAACACAGGTATAGTAATCATGTTGACTGTGATCTGAGTAGTGAGAAATAAGAAGTAGAAACCGCTATTTTATGAACACATATTACAGATTTTTGTGGCTCATATTCTTCTGCAGCAGATACTTTTTTGAAGATTGCACTTAGGTTTCTGGTTCTAAGACACCCTCAATCTGTGTTCTTTCTGAGTGTTACTTCATGTGATGAGTACAGATTTTGATTTGGTAGTGTGAAGGTTAGAACTTGCAAACTAAAGCTTCTCCTGCTTAATTCCAAGCTTATCTTAATTTGATATACAGCTTATTATGGTAATAGGGTTCTGACATCTTTGCTGTGATAAAATAAAGTTTATGTTTTTGTATTCACTTTCGTCGTAGTATGTTGACACTAAATAATCAGTAGTGTTTAAGCTTGGTCCTTTGTTCAGAGTGAAATTTAAACTATGGAAAGATATCAGTGAAGCAAGAAGGCATGTCTGATAGTTTGATGAGAGCACTAGTGTATTGATATTGCTAAATGTTTGAGCAGGTTTGAAGAATTAGCTGCAAAGAACCAGATGACTGCATTACATTATCTGCAGACAACACTCTCAGAAATAATAGATCACAATGATCCTGAACAGACAAAAGAAGTAAGTTTCAAGTGCTATATTCTCATATGGTATATCTCAATCTATTTCATACACGTGTTAGAAAGAGTCAGGTACATACAAATTGTTAAGGTAATATTCATGTAAGTACCAGCTTTAAAATTCTTTTTCCAGCATTCCCTTGGTCTTCCTCTTGCTCATTGTCCTCTAATTTTATAATCCCATGCTGTCTTCAGGCACATGTCCTCATCCTTTCTGTATAGTCTTTTCATCTCTTCAACTATTTTATTGGTCTAATGTTTTTTATATGTGTGTTATTTCTCTTTTGTGTAGTCATGTATACATTACCCCAGTTCCTCTTCATTTGTAAGGGATATGTACTGGCATGATCATGAAAAAAGCCATGATCTCTAGTAAATATTGTACATGCTGTGTACTGACTGTTTTAACCCAGCACAGTTACATTAAAACAAAATGAATCTGAGATAGCTCAGTTGGTATAAAGATGGGCTGTGGGTTGGATGGCCATGTTCGATTCCTGGCCGTACTGCATAGCATCCACACTGCTTCTGGGGCCTACCCAGCCTCCTTTCCAATGGGTACCATGGGGCTCTGTCCCCAGGGGTAAAGTGGCTGGGGTCTGATGTTTACCTCCACATAGTGCCAAGGTCAAGAATGGCGGAGCTGTACTTCACTCCCCCATATGTCTCATGGTGTACGTAATTAATCACAGTGTCAACTTTACCTTTACCCTTATTGCAAACGAAATACAATCTTACAAAAACATTATGCACACAACAGTCACTCTAATGAGAATTTTCTGAGTTGCTCTGGCACAAAATGTTGTTTTAACTCACCCTGTTGTGCTGAAATTCCACAAGTAAACATTGCATAAAATATTTGTAATAATGTGGTGTATAGATCCATTGCTAAGCAGTGACTTGGTAAACAGCAGCCATTGCTAGATAATGCCTGCAACAAATGCACACAACAATAGAAGAACTGTGTTTTCTGTATGATCTGTGGTGTGATCGTTGCTATGCAATGGTGTGGTAAACATGCCTCTACAATAGTGGAGGGGCTGTGTTTTCTGCATGGTCCATTCCGAGGAGTTATCTTGAAGCGAATTGGTGCTACAGTTCAGTTGCAGGATATTCACCCAGCAATAATGACGTGAGTGCAGGAAACTGATGAATCTCCACTGTTAGAAGCCATTGCTAGGTAATGGCTGTGGAAAAGGGCTTAGCAGGTGCTGTGGTGATTTGTAAAGCGTAGGGATTAACAATAGTGCTGTAATTACTTGTAGTTCCAAGTGGTGTATACAAGTGTTCAGTCCACTCACCAGTCGATGCCTCATTTATAGTCATGCCCTTAAGTACGTGACAGTAATGTTTTGATGGACTTGTGACTGCAAATAAGAAAGATCACAAATAGTAAATCTTCAGATATGGATGGACAGCTAGGTTCTTGCTTTTCTCTCTTATACCAGTTCTGTTCTTATGTTATTTCTTGTTACCCATGTCCATGACTTGCTACCATATTTTTCCGTTAGTGGCATTATGTCTAATTTTGAACTACAAACTACATAATATTGGTGAAAGAAGTGGTAACATACATAAATGAGGCATGAATATGGACATTGTTTATTGAGTTACCATTGACAGATGGATGGATGGAAGGTAATGAAGAGCATTGAAATAAAGGGAGTAGTTTAGTTACCAGTATACACATGAGGACATTTTGTTGAAATTTGTATTTACTGGATAACTGTGTGTTTCATTTCATTATATTTTGCTGAATTATGCAATGGAAGACAATAATGAGGCTGATCAAGAAATGCGGTTTTTGTGGTTGTTTTAAACCGTACAGAATTTAGAAACTGTTTATGCAAACATAATGAATGTGTGATGCAGGTATTTGTGTTGGAATGATACCATAAAATAATCTGTGGCCACTTCCAGATTGTGATCTTCTGGGTTATGACATCATGTATTCCATCTTCAGAGTAGAAGCTTGGAAATAGAATGCAGAGCTTCATCTAAAACACTGGTAATTGCCTAACAGACTACAATGTCTTAACCCAGAAGACCATATGAATCTTCACCCATGTGAAATACTCAGATCTCATGTGTGGCCACTTCCTTCTGCTCCCTTCACAACTCCACCACTTCTGCTCCCTTCACAACTCCACCATTCATAATTATCACATTTGCCTTTGTATGCTGTGTAACCACTGCTGTTGCTGGAACACTGTTAAATAAACCAGGGTATAGTTTGATTTTCTTAAAACTGTGGTCTGACAAGGGATCCATTAATGATGTCAAAAGAAGACTGACATCTGAGTTTGAACAGTTGCAATCTGTATTCCAACCAGAGCAGACAAAATACTGTAAAACGAGGCACCAGCCAAACAATTAATGCCAAATAATACTACACCAATACCATGGACCTCCAAGCACTTAACTATATGTATACATTGTCATGAATATACCGCTATATGTCTGCTGGAATATACGTGGGGCAATCCAAAAGTTTCTGAAATTTGAATTTTGCGCGCGAATGGTTATGAGTACATCGAAATACCGCTAGGTGTCTCCTCACACATCCTTCTTGAATCAGTGTGGCAAGCGGCGTCGAATTGAGTGGTTGGGTTTATTGTTGGTGAATGTATTTCCATTGTTGTGTTTCCGTGAGTTTGCGGTTTTGCGATGGCTGACCTGAGAGAGCAGCGTGTCTGTATAAAGTTTTGTTTCAAACTTGGGAAAACCGCTGCAGAAACGCACTAAATGTTGAAGCAAGCTTTTGGTGAAAACAGTTTAGGCCAGACACAAACTTAACAACTGGTATAAGTGTTTTAAAAATGGCCGAACATTGACTGATGATGACGATCGTTCGGGATGGCTGTCAACGGCCAAAACACCAGAAAATGGTGCAAAAGTTAGGGAACTGATTCTGCAAGATCGTAGGCTGACCATCCAAGACCTCTGTAACACCTTGGGACTAAGTTATGGTACACGTCAACGAATTTTGTCAGAGGAACTGAACATGAGGAGGATTGCGGCGAAGTTTGTGCCACGACTGCTGCAAAATGAACAGAAGCAGCATCGCTTGGAAGTCTGCAGGGAACTTCAGCAACAGCTTCAAGAGGATCCAAACTTTCTTTCGAAGGTTGTCACTGGTGACGAAAGTTGGGTTTATGGCTACGACCCTGAAAGCAAGCAGCAATTGTCGCAATGGAAGAGCCCTTCTTCACCTCAGGCAAAAAAAGCTCGACAAGTCAAGAGCAACATTAAGTCCATGTTGATCTGTTTTTTTGATATTGATGGGATTGTTCAAAAGGAGTTCGTCCCTCCTGGTCAGACAGTCAATAAAGAGTTCTATCGCGATGTTCTAAGGCATTTGAGGAAGAACATGAGGAGAAAACGTCCAGAGAAGTGGCGCACGAACGACTGGGTACTCCACCATGACAACGCATGACTGCATACAGCTTACATTGTGCAGGAATTTTTGGCTAAAAACAAGATGGCAGTTGTTCCCCACCCACCGTACTCGCCAGACTTAGCTCCATGCGACTTCTTTCTCTTCCCCAAGATGAAAATCAAGTTGAAGGGGCGAAGATTTGATACAGTTGAGGAAATTCAAGCAGAAACACAGACGGTACTAAACACCCTAACAAAGAAAGACTTCCAGGATGCATTTGAAAAGTGGCAGAAACGCTGGGATCGGTGTATGCGCTCCCAAGGGGAGACTGCTTTGAAGGTGATGGTGCAGAATAAGATCTAGGTAAGATGTAATAGTTTTTATTAATATATTTCGGGAACGTTTGGATTGCACCACGTAACAACAAGATTGCAACACTGACTTCATAATATGAAATATTACATTAATAATTTTAACCATATTTTATTGTATAACTTTCGTTTTATAATAATTTTATTGTATTTTTATACCTTATAATTTATAGTGTAACATATTTGTCAAGTATCCAGCTCTGATGTCACACTGAAATGCAGTTCAACAGTGTGTGAGTGATGTTGACCTTGACCGTTTCATTGTTGTGTTACGATGGATTCCAATAAAGAATTTTATATACATATAAAATATGTAAGGTTTAATAGTGTATTGGGGAACACTATATTGTGATATGAATACGATAGCAGCATTTGGTAGAAGGGATTTATTTTCATGTAATTTATTTGGTGGACCTGATGAACACAGTCAAAAGTGCACATAGTCTTTGATCATCTACATACTGGGATCCTGGGATATATTTCTGTTGCCTGCTTTGATGTTTGGCAGCAGTGCTGTATGTTGTCCCCATTCATGGAATCCTGCCATCTGCCTGAATATGATTTGGAATACTTCCATGATTCAGTGAGGCCAGGGTTCAGATTAGACTGTAGGACTTATAAGAAGAATTGTGTGTACTCGTGTACTGACTTTCAGCTTCTGGCATAATTTTGTGATTAGTTTCAGTTGCTGACCTCAGTATTATTTCGAGAGCAAGATGAGAGAGGCATGACTGTAGCAGATGGGAGTGAGGATGAGGAACTGGACTGTCACCATCAGCGTTCACAGCTATTTGATCAGCTTGTATCCTTCTTCCCTGATACCATGACACAACCGACTGGAAACCTTATAGACCTGATTCCTCTGTAACCACATGAAAACTATTTCCTAGATTTTCTGCTAATCCTGTGATGTACATTTATGTTATCCTTTTAATGTAAATTCTTATTCTTTTCTCTGTGACCTTGACAATCAGTAACATTTATTCACTTTCACCCGGAATAACTTGTTAATTTACATTTGCGATTCTGTGTATGATCATGTCGTTTCTTGGGATGTAAAGTTTTATTGAAGAAATTCTTGAAATACTGTAACTATACTGTAGATAATTGTACAGAACTGACTTCTCGTATTTCCTGTAATTTTTTTTAATGCCTACAGTCAATGTGATTTGTTAACCCACTTCTGTGTTTGTGATAAATAAGAATGTTTGGTTCCTCCAGCTCTTGTTTTTTATTACCTTGACTTTTGGGCACTATCCTTCAGTGGCATTTAATCTCTATATCTGTGTTGGATTTTCTTCATTGAGCAATTAAGCATCTGTAGATTCTAGAAGTAATCATTCAAATTTGTTATAGCTGAATGAGCCTCATAATTATAATATTTTAGTTTTCCCTTTTCCTTGTAATAGTGTGGTTTTATTGATGCATTGAGCTGTAAAATTGTGATATGTAAAGTAAGTCAGTTAAAAATTATTAATTGTATTTGTGATTTGGATGCCTTTTACTTTTTTATGCTTTTGCTGTTGTTATGCTTATTTTCTCAAGGATAGTGCCTAAGAAAACCAAAGAGGGAACCTGGAAGCACCTCAGGTTGCCACCTTGTACACCATCATGCTGTAAATTGACATAAATTTCACCCCTGCAGACTTACCTGAGCATTCATTTAGGTCTAAATTTATCCATGTCAGAATTGAATGCAAAACTTTGGATTATGTAATTTACCATGTAAAGTATATTTTAAGACAAAGTTTACATGTTGAAAATATGTGTAATTTGGAGAACCTGATTATGGTTCATAAAATTGTTAAACATTTACTTTCTTTTTGGAGAGTGATTGAATGAATGAATTTGGATTATGCAACCAAGTCAATTGAAAATATGAGAGCTATTCAGAAAATAACCTCCATTGGGCTCTTAACAAAAAATAAATTAGGAAAAGAGTGTTGTTATATACAAAAAATACATACATACTTAAGCTACTTCTCAGCATAGTCACCACCAGAATTGAGGCACTTGTCATATCAGGGAATAAGTTTTTTTGTGTCTGTGCCACAGAAGTCTGCCACCTGTGAGCTCAGCCATGTTTTGACACCTTCCATCAACTCCTCATTATTGTTGAAGCACTGTGATGTCAAGCAGTTCTTCAGGTAGGCAAACAGGTGGTAGTCACTCAGAGCGCAATCAATGCTCTAAGGAAGTGGTCAAACAACTCCCAGTTGAAATATTTTGGCAGTGCTTGAGTGCAAGAAGCTGTATGTGGATGTGTATTGTCGTGGATGAGCACTACACCAGATGTCAGCATTCCAGGCCTTTTGTTCTGAACAGTCCAACACAGTTTTTTTTAGTGCTTTGCAATACACTTCTGATGCTATTATGTTCTGTTGTTGCATCAATTCCACCAACAGCACTCCTTTCCTGTCCCAGAAAACAGTTGCCATTAGCTTTCTGGCAGGCAATGTTTTTTAAAGTTTTTAAGCTTGTTTGGTGAATGTATGTGCTTCCACTGTTTTGACTGCACTTTGGTTTCAGCATTCACAAATGAAACCCATCTTGTGCAAAACATGTGATAGCATAGCCTAACTATGATAATCTAGTAGAGAACAGTGAATGAAATTTGTGGAAAGTCACACGAAAGTCCCGAAAATGTGCAGCACTGTCTTTCATAGATTTTTTTGTGAACACTTTGAACAAGATGATCACTCACTACAGATGGCCAACCACTTTGCTCTTCATCATGAACATATGTTTATCCAGCTTTGAACATTCGACACCATTGTCTTACAGTTCCTTCACTCATTACACTTTGGCCATAAATCGTCACGCATGTTTCATGATGGATTTCCGCAGCATTCATGTTTTTAGCATGAATAAAGCAGATAACAACAAATTTTGAAGCTGATGGGATTATCAATCACAGGACACATCATAACTCACTCTGTAGAGACAAGAACAAACACTAGGTGACCAGTTATATAATGGTTTACAAGGCAATGAGTCATGTGACTATGTCATATGCATGAGCTCTCCTACTTTAGTTGCCTAAAATAAACTGAGGTTACTTTCTGAATAGCCCTCATGTATTGTAAATTACACTGAACTTTTTAAGTGTACCCAGCATTCTTTATACCCCCAGAATGTTTTGGAATCAGTACCAAGGGTGTGTTGTATGAATGCTTTGTGAGTTGCTAGCATTTTCAGCCTTAAGGGGAATGAAAGCAATAAAAATAACACTGTCAGAGATAAACATTTGTTTTGTTTATTAGGTGCAGTTATTTACATTGGAAGGATTACAGCTTTCTGAATGTACTTTAGTAAATATCTTAATAACTTACAAAGTGTCAGAGCTTGCCATCTGTAAATACTGCAGTGTATGCACGTTCTTAGTTGTTAAGCATGTACATATTCTGTTACCTGACTGTGCATAAAGCAGAAGTCCACAGGACAGTCAGTTATTAAAATTAAGTCATATAAGAATCAGCTATGGTTTTCAGTCTCTACACAGAAATCCCTTTCTGCAAGTGATCTCTGTAGAGTATATGTTTCCAGAGAAAAATGAAGAGCTTCAGACATTACTGATGTGTAAATCTGTGCTTGATCAGTGAAAATGTGAAGATGTTACTTTCTTCCTCCTCCATTTTAAGGTTTCATAACTCTGAAATTAATCCCTTAATGCCTTTCCAAACTAGTTATTTTTGGACAAATAACTGTGATCTCATTTCTCAAGCTTGCATTTTTCTTGAATCTCATATCAAGCACTGTTGCTGCTTATTTCCTTCCATTTGTCTCCTTCTGTCAGTATTCGTTTTTCTTTTCTCTACCTCCTTCCTTCATTCTTTCATCTTTATTTCTCTTTTAGTAATTTGTTTTTTATCTCATTTTTCTTTCTTCCTTCTTCCATCCTCCTTTCTTTCCTGCTTTCCTTTCTTTATCACTTCAATTTATTTCTGTATATGTCTAATAGTTATTTGATTTGTACATATACTGTTCCTTCAGCTCAAGATCTGGGCAGTTAAGTTGAAGGAGCAAATTCTTCAAACAGTTTTAGGAAGTTATGGCGACTGATAAAATTAACATACTTTGGCTAATAATTCATTACAATGTGGTAAACAGTTGGCATGCATGAAGTTTTCTTAGTGGTTGAAGGATGACGTTAACTATCATTGTCGTTATCGGCGGCGTTATCATCATCATCATCTATCCATTTTACTAACATAAAGAGCATAATTTATGATTATACTGTGAATAACTGGTTCAGCTGATTTATTGATCTCAGGTGAGGAAAGTGCAAAAGGACCATTTAAAATTATGGAGAAGGCTAAGGAATCACGTTCATGAAGTGAGACAAGGTGATAAACTACAATGTATTCTTTTCTTGAAGTAACAAAAAACATGAACACAAAATGCAAAATAAATAAGTGTGGAGTAGGAGAAAATATTTGGTATGGCAAGGCTAAATATTTATATACAAAAATAATATCCACGATGGCAAAAATGGAATGTCTTCTAAGTTGTAAGTTGTAGATTTTTCTGCAGTTCCATGTTACGTTAAATACAACAGACACATTTTAAAATACACTGGAACCACCATTTCATGTTATTCAATTTAAGGTTTTCCCTCTTTCTGCATTCAATTTAAGTGATCCCAATTCAATCTGAATGTTAGGTTTCCTCTGTGTAAGAATTTCCTCAATTTAATGTTCAAATCTGCTTACCCCCAGTGAAATTTTAAGCATGGGTTTCACTATGTATATTTTATGACTAACCTTAAATACTAAATAGATTGGAATAGGATACTAGGAGAATATTTGGACTTATGAGAGGAAGTAACAGGAGGCTGAAGAAATTTTATAATGAGGAACTTCTTAAAATATTATAATTATGATGAGATCAAGAGGAGGAGATCCTACGGCATGTAGTAAGCATGTAGGAGGTGAGTTAATGCATACAGAATATTAGTCAGAAAACCAGATGTAAATAGACCACTTCAGAGACCTAAGCACAGATGTGAGAATAATATTAAATTGATTCATACACAAACAAGGTATGAGAATAGGGTGGATTCAGCTGGTAAGAGTAAGAGTCCAGTGAATCTTGTTACAGGCTCTTATAAACATGGAAATGAAACTCTGGATTCCAAAAGGCAAAGAATTTCTGAGTGACTATCTGCTTCAGAAGAGGAGCCCTACACTCAACAGAATTACCGGTAGCTTGTAAAGATTGCAGTGGTCAACTTAAAGCTCTGAATGTTACTGGAAGCCTGTACTCAGATTGGGAAGTTCTTGAGAGTTGTTATTCCTTTGTGTTTATTCTCATTTCTTTTTAGAATCCTTTTCTTTTGAGTTATTACTTGTATTCTCACTCAAGTTTGATGGCTTTGTAGTAAGCATCTGCTATATTGGAAACAAAAGAGGCGGAAGACTGGTTCATTTGCATTATTTAATGTAATTGAATTAATTCCTTCTGTTTCAGTTCCTCTTCACAGTTTTTACTGCTACCAATGGCGCACTTTGCAGTGTACAATTTTTTTTATGATGAAATGTTGCAGACGGACTGATGTCGGCTCATAAATAGAAAGGTCATTCCCAGTCGTCTCCATGGCTGTTTCACTGTTCCAATGCTGTGAAGGTGTGGGCTAGTTTGATCTGGTGCAGAATAGAGTGTAGTGGCAGGTTTTTGTAAATGTGGTAATGACTCTTCAGGTGTCATAAACGTGGGGTGTTGTCTTCATCAGTTGAGTGACTGTCAGCTTCATAGGAAGGACTCTGCTCCATAGAGAAAGGTACTTCTGGCTGAAGATAATAGGGAAAGAAACAGAGGGAGACTGTTTATGAAGATGGCATGAGATATAAGAGTGTAAATAATTTGCTGGGTTGTAGCAGAATTTTGTTATAAATCCATCATTGATAATTTTGAAAATGGATGTGCATATTTACAAAATGAAGGTTCACCAAACACTAATGAAGTCTCTTATTACTCGTAGGTTGTACCCAGAAGTTTGATGATGTGTCTGTAAAGGATTTGTATAAGTGACCAAAGTTTGCATCATGTCCCCTCCAGAGGACTTCCATTAGGATCTAATATAATGAGTCCTGAGATTATGTCATTGTTGGCCAGATGTTTGAAACTCTTCTTCTATATTACCATTAAGTACCTCCTATGAATTCTGCTGAATTTCTGAAACATCATGAAACTTTTTCCCTTTAGTTTCAGTTTCAAGTTT